GGGGTTTCACCATGTTGGCCAGGATGGTCACGGTCTCTTGACCTCGTGATCCACCTGCCTTGGCCTCCCAATGTGCTGGGATTACAGGCGTGAGCCACTGCGCCCGATCTACTGACTGCTTTCTAAAAGCCAAGCACAGTGCTTAACACTTTATATGCATTGTTCTCTCATTTACAACTTACAGCAACTCCAGAAAGAAATGAATATTATCATTCCCACTTTATTGCATTTATTTATTTATTTTTAAGATGGAGTTTTGCTCTTGTCGCTCAGGCTGGAGTGCAGTGGCACCATCTCGGCTCACTGTAAGCTCCACCTCCTGGGTTCAAGTGATTCTCCTGCCTCAGCCTCCCGAGCAGCTGAGACTACAGATGCCCGCCACCATGCCCAACTATCATTCTCATTTTACAGATTTGGAAACAGGATAAGGAGGTCACATAACTATTCCAGTTTGCACGTGAGGAAATAGCAACTTCAACCTAAATCTGGGTTGCCAAAGTCCATGCTTTTTCCACCTCACCTCTACCTCACTATTTGCCTGTAAAATCCACAAGTCCAACCCATAAATTTATAGGTAGACAGCTATTAAATGAAGTATTTGCTGCCATTTGTGAATTATCTTAGATAGATAATTATCACAAACCACTCACCTAAACAACTCAAGAAAAGACAGGTCAATCCATACCCCTCCACACAAAGAGGAACAACTCTGCGGTGAATTCCGTCAAACAAAAAAACCCTTTCCAATACCACTAAATCCAGATGTATTATTTATCAGTTTTCATATTTGCACAGGGATTCTTAAAGCAGAAGGAATCTGCAATAATAGTATCTCAGTTCCTTTCAAAATCTCCACATTAGCCAAAATAATTTCCAGGAATAGATACAACTCATCAATTCTACAATGGAACATACTTGATCAAGAACCAAAGGCTTGTTCTATTTCAGAAAAACTACAGACCCTTCTTCTTTGCTGTTCTTATAAAATCCCACCAGAACTCATTATCTTGCTGCCTGCTCATCTGGCAAACAAACAGGGAGATGAGTCAACTCAAGCCAAGCCTCGTGCTGGGGAGAACTCACAGAGCCAGGGAACCACATCTGCACTGTCCCCGCCCGCCCAGCGCGGGAGGCTGCGGTTCCCCTTCTGGCATGCCTTTGCTGACCTCTAGTGGTCCACAGGAAGAAAGAGCCAACAGCAAAAGGACAGGCTGTTCCAAAGAACAAAATGTCCTCACATTTTAAGTGAAAACATTTTATCCATGAAATGTGTGTTTCCATACCCAACAGTGAAAACAGATTCCCCGCGAGCCCAATTTATCGGCATTAACTTGCAAAGGCAACTCCAGTTGTTAAGGGCAAGCCAGCCTCAAAGCCCTGTCCTCGGCTCCCAACCAAACTGTCTGCAATTCCACTGCTTCAGGCCTTCAGAGGATCCGTGTAGAAGCACAGTCCACCCTCCACTCTGTCACAAAAGATGTCCCCTCATGCCTTTCAATCTGATCATAACAGGTGCCCATTGCAGAGTCACTTTACAGAGCAGGCACTAAGACAGTACTGAACAGGAAGTGGCAAAGCTGGTCCTTCCAGTGACCACTAGCGCTTCTTTACAGACCAGAATATTAAGAGGCACCAAGTGACTGTGCTCAAGGTTCACAGCTAACGGGGGCCACGCAGGGGTCTGAACCCAAGCCCATTTGACAGCTTGACTCCACCGTGACTCCCACATTGGACTCCTCCAGAGATTCGCACCTGCCCACCTGATGACTGCTATGCAAGACCTGCGGCAGGATCTGACCTCACCCTGCGTTTAGGCCTCTCTTCCCCACACTGTCCCTCACAGACAAAACTGCTCTGGCCCCCACGTGACTTCTGTGCTCGGAGCTCACACTCAGCCACATGTTTCCACCCAGTCCCTCTGCTCAGAGGCTCCTCAGCCCCACTCTGCCAGGTCCTTTTCATTCTCCTCAGAGAGCACCTCCTCCAGGAAGCCCTGCACCCTCAGCACTGAGAGCATCAGACTCCGGGACAGGGCCCACATCCTCATCAGCCCCGCAAATCTGTGGCCCAGGGCAGCACTGAACCCCTCCCCTCGTAGGTCCCCTGAAAAGTGTGTCAGATGAGACACATGATCCAGACGTTGGTTCCTTTGCCAGGCATCACTGGAGACAAATACTGCCCCCTGGGCGCCCGAGGAACTGAAGCTTCCACTTTGAAGTGCCACGTTTCCGCTTCTGCCTATCTTTTCTGGAAACTTCAACACAAACCGAAAGATAAGGCCTCTTCCTAATGCTCCTTGGTGACACACTACCGACGGTGGTGCTGTTTCCCTACGCTATGTGGCCAACAGCTCTGAGGGACTGTGTTGTTTCTTTTACCCGGTTTATTGGCTTTACTGCATTCTTGTCCCTCCCTTTGGTGTGATGCTGACACTCTGACTTATCGGCCTCCCTGCCAGCATCTAATCTAGGAAATCAGCCGAGATGAGGGGTCCCAGGGATGGTAAATACACTTTACAGAAGAAGGAACTGAGGCACACACAGGTCAAATGTCTTGCAAGGCAAGTGAAGCTTGAACGCCAACCCCAGCAGTCTGTATCCAGTCCAAGCGCTGGACTCTCATGCTAAAATACCTCTCTTTTTATAGACTGTGGCTATAAACATTATAAAGTACCAAAACATGGACAACTCTGAGATGGTGGTGAACTGCTATTTTGTTTCTACTTAGGTTATCTGCTCTCAATTGAAAAAATTAAGAACCTCTGTAGTCAATATGGCAACATTTCGATATATGAAATCCCAATGATAGAGACATAAGTGTCTTATTATTAGTCATACCTATTTATGTGTTCAAAATAGAAACTGACTTGAAAGTCTCTCCTCTCTCTTCTACCCTCTGCCCTGTCTCTCCCCTGGGCCCCCAGACCCCACGCCTCTCCCGTTATGTGCGAAGCAGAACCTCTCCTTTCCCTCCACCACTGCCTTGCAGCTTGCCCTCCTGGGGGCCCAGCCTGACCGTCAGGCACCTAATGGAGCAACACTCCATTCCACCCAAACCGATCCCACAGTCGGCCGCTGACCTTTCCACATAGACCCCTAAGCACATTTCCAGCTGGCTGGCCTTGCTGCCAGCAGCCTCCCTCCTCTAGGGAAGCTGTCAGCACTGCTTGCCTGGGCTCCCCAAGGGCCTCTGCAATGGGCCCCCTCCCTCCCTCTCCCCTGGCTCCATACAAATCTGGTCGCATCAGTCCCTTTTAGAAGCAGCCCCAAATGCTTCACCTGGCCAAGAAAGCCCTCCTGCTCAGACTCTGTCCTCCCTACCCTTCTCTGTCTCCCTCCCTCCCTCCCCTCGCTCTCCATCTCCCCCTCTTTCACCCCCACCGCCCCGTCTCTTACTTATTTAGTCTCTCCCAGTGATGGGCTCTGTCTGTTTCAGAGAATCACCCATGCTGAGCCATTTCTTTCCAAATGACCTTCACCCATTTCCTCTTTACCTGGCTCCTATTCATCCTTCAAGGCCCAGTTCCAATCTCACTGCCCTAGAGACAGTCCCTGGCCCCCACACCCTCCACCTCCATCAAACTAAGTTAAATCCTTTTGCCACTTGCTCCCTTGGCACCCGTGCCTCCATTTTTTTCCCAATTACCCCACTGCTCAATGCCTGCCTTTCCCACAAAACTGTCAGATGGATGAGGGTAGGACCTGCCTGCCTCACCTCTCTTTCCCCCACCTTAACACGATGCCCTCCTAAGGATCTGCTGAATTACAGTGACCTATATTCTCATCCTCCTCTTGTGTCCTTAAGCAAGCTGTTTAACTTGGTCTTGGTTTCTCTGTCTATAAAAATCCAAGTTAAACTAACTACATATCTAAAATCCTTCTAAGACTATCAGTTTTAGGATTTAGCATCAATTCACAACTAAAGGTTTTGATCATTGTTTTATTAAAAATCCATTCAGATTCAGATTTAAGTAATATTTAATAATATCTGACACAGTAGTGTCAAAGGAGCTATGTAAGTACTTTCACAAACTGCATGTTTTATAAACCCAACACCTCAAACAGGGTTACAAATGGCAAGTAACTGAAGATAAGAGGCATGAAGCTTATTCAAGATTGCAAAGCTGGTAAGACAGTTATTTATCCATACAAACAAACAAAAAAAAAATTGAGCCAAGTATGGTGGCTCACGCCCATAATCCCAGTTCTTTGGGAGACTGAGGTGGATGGATTACAAGGTTGGAGGTTCAAGACCGGCCTGGCCAACATAGTGAAACCCCGTCTCTACTAAAAATACAAAAATTAGTTGGGCATAATGGCGCAGGCCAGCAGTCCCAGCTACTCAAGAGGCTGAGGCAGGAGAATTGCTTGAACCCGGGAGGCAGAAGTTGTGGTGAGCCCAGCCTGTGCCACGGTACTCCAGCCTGGGCAACAGAGGGAGACTCCATCCCCAAAAAAAAAATTGGAAAGGACAACAAGTTCTGAATTTTGAAAGTTAAATACCACAAATGAAAGAAGTAAAATATACAAATAACGATGTTAATTAGAAATCAAGTTAAGGGCTCAGTGCAGTGCCTCAAGCCTATAATACCAGCACTTTTGGAGGCCGAGGCGGTCAGATTACGAGGTCAGGAGCTTAAGACCAGCCTGGCTAACATGGTGAAACACCATCTCTACTAAAAAATACAAAAGCTTAGCTAGGTATGGTGGCACGCACCTGTAGTCCCGGCTACTGGGGAGGCTGAGGCAAGAGAATCGCTTGAACCGGGGAGGCAGAGGTTGCAGTGAACCAAGATCACACCTCTGCACTCCAGCCTGGGTGACACAGCAAGACTCTGCCTCAAAAAAAAAAAAAAAAAAAAAAACAAAATAGAGTTCAGATTCAACAGTTTTTATCACGGCATGCTGAACCTCAGCAGAATGAAATAAGCTGAATTCACAGTGAATAAATTCCACAAGAACTGGAGTAACTCTTCCACTCATAGGGAGACATACACTCACCTGCCGAAGGTTAATGTACACTGCGTTCTGAAGAAATTCTGATGCTTCCATGCTCCGTTTCTGAATTGCAAGGACACGTACAGCCTTGATGCACGCTTCCAACTCAATCACTCCAGCATTCTTATACTGCAGGGTGTAAAGGAAGCGCCTCCGTCAAAAAAGAGTTGAGATGTTTCCATCACATTCTAAATGCTGTGTTACTGGGACTCAGTAACTACAACAGCACTTCCCCCAGCACACGGCTCCAGATACCCTTCCTGATATGGTTTGGCTTTATGTCCCCACCCAAATCTCATCTTCAATTGTACTCCCATAATTCCCACATGTTGTGGGAGGGACCTGGTGGGAGATAATTGAATCATGGAGTGGTTTCCCCCATACTGTTCTTGTGGTAGTGAATAAGTCTCATGAGATCCCATAGTTTTATCAGTGGTTTCTGCTTTTGCGTCTTCCTCATTCTCTTTTTGCCTGCTGCCATCCATGTAGGATGTGACTTGCTCCTCCTTGCCTTCTGCCATGATTGTGAGGCTTCCCCAGCCACGTAGAACTGTAAGTTCAATTAAACCTATTTCTTCTGTAAATTGCCCAATCTTGGGTATGTCTTTATCAGCAGCATGAAAACAGACTACTACAGTAAACTGGTACCAAGTGTAGAGTGTTGCTGAAAAGATACCTGAAAATGTGGAAGCAACTTTGGACCTGGGGAACAGGCAGAGGTTGGAACAGTTTGGAGGCCTCGGAAGAAGACAAGAAGATGTGGGAAAGTTTGGAACTTCCTCAAGACTTGTTGAATGGCTTTTGCAGAAATGCTGATGGTGATATGAACCATAAGGTCCAGACTGAGGCAGTCTCAGATGAAACGAGGAACTTGTTGGGAACTGGAGCAAAGGTGACTCCTGTTATGTTTTAGCAAAGAAATGGCAGCATTTTGCCCCTGCCCTGGAGACTTGTGGAACTTTGAACTTGAGGAAAATGACTTAGGGTATCTGGCAGAAGAAATTTCTAAGCAGCAAAGCATTCAAGAGGTGACTTGGGTGCTGTTAAAAGCATTCAGTTTTAAAAGGGAAACAGAGCATAAAAGTTTGAAAAATTTGTAGCCTGACAATTTGATAGAAAAGAAAAATCCCCTTTTCTGAGGAGAAATTCAAGCTGCAGTAATTTGCATAAGTAACAAGGAGCCAAAAGTTAATCCCCAAGACAATGGGGAAAGCATCTCCAGAGCCTGTCAGAGGTCTTCACAGCAGTGCCTCCCATCACAGACCTGAGGCCTAGGAGGAAAAAGTGGTTTCACCGGCCGGCCCGGCTCAGGGTCCCCATGCTGTGTGCAGCATAGGGACTTGGTGCCCTGTGTCCCAGCCACTCCAGCCAAGGCTGAAAAGAGCCAATATAGAGCCTGGGCCGTGGCTTCAGAGGGTGGAAGTCCCAGGCCTCGACAGCTTCCAAGTGGTGTTGAGCCTGCAGGTGCACAGGAGTCAAGAACTGAGGTTTGGGAACCACCACCTAGATTTCAGAAGATGTATGGAAACGCCTGAACGTCCAGGCAGACATTTGCTTCAGGGGCAGGGCTCTCATGGAGAACCTCTGCTAGGCCAGTGCAGAAGGGAAATGTGGGGTCAGAGCCCCAACATAGAGTCCCTACTGGGGCACTGCCTAGTGAAGCTGTGAGAAGAGGGCCACTGTCCTGCAGACCCCAGAATAGCAGATCCACCGACAGTTTGTGTCATGTGCTTGGAAAAGCCACAGACGCTCAACATTAGCCAGTGAAAGTAGCCAGGATGGGGGTTGTACCCTGCAAAGCCACAGGCGCAGGGCTGCCCAAGACCATGGGAACCCACCTCTTGCATCAGCATGACCTGGATGTGAGACATGGAGTCAAAGGAGATCTTTTTGGAGCTTTAAGATTTGACTTTCCCACTGGGTTTCAGACTTGCATGGGGCCTGTAGCCCCTTTGTTTTGCCAATTTCTCCCATTTAGAAAGGCTGTATTTATCCAAAGTCTACGCCCCCACTGTATCTAGGAAATAACTAGCCTGCTTTTGATTTTATAGGTTCATAGGTGGAAGGGACCTGCCTTGTCTCAGATGAGACCTTGGACTATGGACTTCTGAGTCACTGATGAAATGAGTTAAGACTTTGGGGGACTTTTGAGAAGGCATAATTGGTTTTGAAATGTGAGGACATAAGATTTGGAGGGGCCAGGGACAGAATGATATGGTCTGACTCTGTGTCCCCACCCAAATGTCATCTTGAATTGTACTCCAATAATTCCCATGTGTTGTGGGAGGGACCTGGTGGGAGATAATGGAATCATGGAGGTGGCTTCCCCCATATACTGTTCTCGTGGTAGTGAATAAGTGTCACTAGATCTGTGGTTTTATCAGGGATTTCCACTTTCGAGTCCTCTTCTCATTCTCTCTTTGCCTGCTGCCAACCATGTAAGACAGGACTTGCACCTCCTTGCCTTCCACCATGATTATGAGGCCTCCCCAACCACAGACAACTGTAAGTCCAATTAAGCCTCTTTTTTGTAAGTTGCCAGTCTCCAGTATGTCTTTATCAGCAGCATGAAAATGGGCTAATACACCTCCCCACCAAGGCTGGAGAATTTGTGAGAAAGTCTATCCTTTATAGGAGCAAAAGAGATTGGTGGGGCTGAGTGAATCTAAGAATGCATCAATGTGTATGCATTCATTAAAATAATATGACCAAAGCCGGGCGCGGTGGCTTAAGCCTATTATCCCAGCACTGTGGGAGGCCGAGGCGGGTGGATCACGAGGTCAAGAGATCGAGACCATCCTGGTCAAAATGGTGAAACCCCGTCTCTACTAAAAATACAAAAAAAATTGGGCCTGGCGCGGTGGCTCAAGCCTGTAATCCCAGCACTTTGGGAGGCCGAGGCGGGTGGATCACGAGGTCAAGAGATCGCGCCATTGCACTCCAGCCTGGGTAACAAGAGCGAAACTCCGTCTCAAAAAAAAAAAAAAAAAAAAAATTAGCTGGGCATGGTGGCGCATGCCTGTAATCCCAGCGACTCAGGGGGCTGGGGCAGGAGAATTGCCTGAACCCGGGAGGCGGAGGTTGCGGTGAGCCAAGATCGTGCCATTGCACTCCAGCCTGGGTAACAAGAGCGAAACTCCGTCTCAAAAAAAAATAATAATAATAATAATAATAATATGACCACAGTAGCTTGCTATTTTGCAAAATTTCAAAATGTTATCAATGAATACTTTGCTATTCGGTTCTGCTTATCATCCCTTGTAGTACTCTAAAACATTTTTAGAAACTCTCACACCTGCAGCTTTAATGCAGTTGTTGTAAATTCATTTTATTTAGTTGCAAAAAATCTGACTCCCTGTGTGTTCAATGCTTTCTGATTTTGTCTCAGAGTTGCTTCTTCCTACTTCTCAGTTCCTATTATGGTTCCTGAGATGAAGAACAAATGAGGGCGTTTGGAACAGAAAAGGCTTTGTGGAACTTCATTCGACTACGCAATAAACCGAGGAGTCTTTCTTAAGCTTCACCCCCAATTCTCCTGGCTTGAAGCCAGGAGAGCCACCCCCAGCGCCTCTTACACACCGTGTGGCCCCAGACCCGGGAACATGGAAAGGAGGAAGGAGTCACGTTCCAGAACTCTTCCAAAAAAGAAGAGTTCAGCCAGGAGGCAGAGGTTGCAGTGAGCCGAGATCGCACCACTGCACTCCAGCCTGGTGTCAGAGAGAGACTCCATCTCAAAAAAATTAAAAATAAATAAAATAAATAAATGAAAGAAGAGTTCAGATGGATGGATCTCCTTCCTTCCCTCCAGTGACCTTCTCCCTCCCAAGCCTCCAATGCAAAATCTTCCATGCTAGCCATTCTGCATTTTTCTTTTCTACTCCAAACCTTTTTTATTTTTTATTTTTTTCCTAATTATCGCAGCTGGAGTGGTTTTAATCTGATGTCACATAATTTAATTTAAAATTAAAGAAAGCCTTTATAGAAGTTAAGTCCATGCATACTAGTACCTGAAGAGAAACGGAGATTGGGAGGAGTAACACACTAATATTCTTTTGCATGTGAAAACCAATGCATATAACGAACAAGCCTTTGCTGAGACCCACTAGAGGCCTGGCATGGCATCACTGCTCGTGAACATGCAGTCTATTTACCAACCACGAAAAAGCAAAGGAGCAACTGGTCATCCTCCTCACTAAAATCATGCATAAGGGGGGACAACCAGTTTTATACTTACTATGCCAGAAAGGGTGGGCTTCATTCCTTCCCTTTCCACACACATGACATATATATAATCTGTGTTATCACAGACGATCAGAAAAAGAAGCTATTCATACTTATTTCAATACCAACAATGAAGTAAGAAATCTATCAATTGTATATACTGTTTTATAACACAAGAAAATACTAACATAGGGACTTGATTCTATGGAAATACTCTTTTTCCTTCAAAACTTTTAAAACAGTTTCTATTGAAGTGAGAATAAAAGTCACTGCAAATTTTTCCACATATTTTTGGTAAAATTTACGTATTTTAATGTACATTACAAAGCTATTTAAAATGAAACCATGAAAAAAAAATTTTTTTGAGACAGGGTCTTGCTCTGTCACCCAGGTTGGAGTGTAATGGTGTGATCACAGCTCATTGCAGCCTCAATCACCCAGGCTCAGGTGATCCTCCCACCTCAGCCTCCCTGGATGCTGAGACAACAGGTGTGCACCACCACACCCAGCTAATTTTTTTGCATATTTTGTAGAGGCAGGGTTTCGCCATGTTTCCCAGGCTGATCTGGAAGTCCTGAGTTCAAATGATGCTCCCAACTTAGCCTCCCAAAGTGTTAGAATTACAGGCATGAGCCACTGCCTGTAACTCAAACTCTTTTTTTTTTTTAATTCTTTCCTCCTAACCAAATTTTCATGGCTAGAATACTTAATTTATTATTCCTCAAAAATTCTAAAATAATTTGTTCAAGTTTTAAAAAAATCAGATTGGAATTTTGATAGGGGCTTTCAATACGTTTCATTCTGGGAGGTTATATGCAGTGGCTTTGGCCTTTAATCCCAGCATCTCAGGAAGCCATGGTGGGAGGATTGCTTGAGGTCGGCAGTTCCAGACCAGCCTGCGCAACATAGAGAGACTCCATCATTAGCTAAATAAAAAATTAGCCAGGCATGGTGGCGTGCACCTGTTGTTACAGATACTCGGTCATCTGAGTGAGGCAGTGAGGTAGGAGGCTGAGGGTGACAGGATTGCTTGAATCAAGGAGTTTGAGGTTACAGTGAGCTGTGATCGTGCCACTGCACTACAGACTGGGCAACAGAGCAAGACCCTGTCTCCAAAAAAACAAAACAAAAAAAAAAGGTGGGTGCAGTGGATCATGCCCAGCACTTTGGAAGACCTGAGACAGGCAGATCGCTTGAGCCAGAGGTTTAAGACAAGCCTGGGCAACATGGTAAAACCCCACCTCTACAAAAAATACCAGACACAATTAGCTGGGCAAGGTATTGTACACTTCTGGTCCCAGCACACAGGGAGGCAGAGGTGGGAGGACCACCTGAAGCTGGGAGATCAAGGCTGAAATGAACTCCAGCCTGGGCAACAAAGCAAAACCCTGTATCCAAAAAAAAAAAAAAGAAAGAAAGAAACACTTTGAGATATTAAGTAAACTGCTAAAACAGATAAAATATGGTGCTGAAGAAAAGAGATTCATAGAAAGGAATGAACAGTTAATAAATAGACACAAGTATGTGAAAGTATTTAGTACAGGTGAGAATTCAAATCAAAGAGAAAAAAATATGAATTCAATACATCATGGTAGGACAGTGAGATAATGACCTGAAAACTATAAATTGTATTCTTATGTCATAATACACACAAAACAAATTATAGATAATGATAAAAATTATTTTAAATGCTAATGATAGTGAATATAAATATATGTTTGCATATATTATCTCAGCTTAACTACAGTTCTATGAGATGATGGGTACTGTTACCATCCCCATTTTAGAGATTAAAAAACTGAAGAAAAGAGTTTAATTCTATTGTTAAGAAAGTATTTCTAAGCAGGGCGGGCATGGTGGCCAACGCCTATAATCCCAGCACTTTGGGAGGCCCAGGTGGGTAGATCACTTGAGGTCAGGAGTTTGAGACCAGCCTGGCCAACATGGTGAAACCCCGTGTCTACTAAAAATATAAAAAATTAGCTGGATGTGGTGGCTCACACCTGTAGTCCCAGCTACTCAGGTGGCTGAGGCAGGAGGATCACTTGAATCCAGGAGGCAGATGTTGTAGTGAGCCCAGACCGTGCCACTGCACTGCAGCCTGGGCAACAGAGTGAGACTCTGTCTCAAAAAAAAAAGCATTTCGAAGCATAATACTAAACTCCTAGCCTCAAGTAATCCACCTGCCTCAGCCTCCCAAAGTGCTGGAATTACAGGCATGAGCCACCACACTCGGCTGTATTGGCAAATATTTTTTTTAAATAATAGCTAACATTTATGGAGGAGTAACTTGTTAATAACCTTTTTGGAGGACAATATAGGAATATATAACTCTTTTTTAAAACGTATACTTTTTGGGGTTTTTTGACAGACTCTCACCCTGCAGCCCAAGCTGGAGTGCAGTGGTGTGATCTCAGCTCACCTCAAACTCCGCCTCCAGGCTCAAGTGATTCTTGAGCCTCAGCCTCTCAAGTAGCTGAGACTACAGATGCATGCAACCACATCTGACTAATTTTTTATATTTTAGTAAAGACAGGGTTTCCCCATGTTGCCCAGGCTGGCCTCAAACTCCTGAGCTCAGGCAATCCACCTGCATCAGCCTCCCAAAGTGCTAGGATTACAGGTGTGAGCCACTGTGCCTGGCCAAAAAAAAAAAGTATACTCTTTAACTCAACTCAACTTCTAGGAATTGTTCCCTTAAAAAAAAGTCAATCCAAAAAGATGTATCTATAGGGACATTTATCAGTTAACTGTTTACAGTGGGGGAAGAAAAAATGAAAATAAAACATAATCAGTAACAGCACTGGTGAAATAAATGATTCTACATCTTTTCATTGTCTATTAGAAGAGGAATTTGGAGAGTAACTTGAACATAACCTATGATAAATAAATGTTAACATCCAGGATAAATTTCTAGAAAAATTGAACCTAATGGAATACTGATACAAGAACACAAGAATATAGGGGCAAGAATGTTTGCTAAAGCATTTTTTTTCTAATTCACAGTGAAAAAGTGAGAAACCCTAAGTATCCATCTACAAGAGAATAATTAAGTAAATTAAGGCAAGCTGTGAAATCTGTAAGAGCAGGCATTTCATCTCGTTCTAGGTGGTGTTTAGGAGCATCACAAAATGCCTTGATGAACACGTGACTATATCCACATTTTAGAAAACCTTTCCACGCTATCTGAAAGAAGCAAGCAGTTCTAGAGGTGACAGTACACCCATGGTCTATGATATAACATAATATAATCCCATTTTCATAAATAAGATATACATGTGTGTGCTTGCATGTGTGCATACATGCACGTGTGTGTGTGTATATCTCATAGGCATAGATAAAGGTCATGAAGGCTATGGACTGAGTTGTTGATAATCAATAAACCAAGTTGTTAGTGAGGGTAAAGGAGGCATGTCAGTCTTTTGCACAACTTTTCTTTTTCAGTATTTTAGTAAGTACATTTGGAATTCGAAATTGTTTTCAATCCAAACTAAAAAGAAGGGTGCCTCCGCAAGATGGAAGCTTCTACGGGTCACTGAACATTATGCCACAAAAGATTTCAACAGCAGAGAGAAACGCATACTATGCCAAATGGAAGACATGGGTCACCACATAGTAAGTAAGTAAACTAGCTCCATTTCTTAAAATATAAATAATATACACTGACTAAAGGACCAGAAAATAGATATACAATATTAACAATCATTATCTGTGAATACTGGGGCCATGGTAGCCTTTTTTCTCCCTTTTCCAAATTTATTATACTAAACCTACACAGTTTTGAATAAGAAACAGAAAACATTTTAGGCATATAGTATTGTGCATTAGCTAGTAAGACATGAATACTTACAGAAACAAATAATTAAGAGATATTGCCGCATTACGCAATGTAAAATGGGAACTTCTGATTAAAACAACACAATTGTGTAAAAAATTCACAAATCAATAAAATTACCTTGCTGTAATAGGAAATGGCCTCTTTATACTTGTCAATTATGTCTTCGGGGCTAAGGCAGTTCTTAGCACGTCCAATCTCAGTGCTGGTGTCGGGATTGATGCCATTGGTGGTGAGGGCACCTGCAAACCGAGAGGAAGAAAAGAAATAATCTTTTGCTTTTACTCTATTATTTCTTTGTTAGTTTAAAGAAGGGCATGAATCAGATAAAACTTAGATGTGGCCTACTGAACTTTAAATAATGAAAGTGTTTAGTCTTCACTGCTTCTATGCTTCCTATAATAGCCTTGCTATCAAAGCATTGTATTAAATGTTAATTAACTCAGAATAAGTTTTCCTCTCTGTTGGAATTTTTTATTGAAGAACATGAAATGCATTACATAAAAGTAACATATTTACAGTAACTAGCTCAATTGTCTTGAAGGCAATGGTGAAGTCAGCGCACATTCTCTCACGGCTTGAAGCTCTTCATGCTAGCAAGGGACCACCCGCATCCTCAAAGGAGATCAACTACGCAAAAGCATTTTCTGAACCATACGGCATTCAAAAACAAATTATAATTGATAGTATGCTTTCTATGTCTATCATTTTCTATTTCTGACCAACTCCTATCAATAAGCAGAAGTATCTGATTTCCTAGTGACCAAACCCACATGGGCAAGCATTTTGGAGAAACTTCCATTTAAAGAATACAACCAACTACACAGAGAACTCTGGCAGAAAAAAAAATAAAGACAAAATATTCATTGACTTCACAGAACACTCAAAAAATATTCTCCAAAATCTCAATAGCAGGAAAAGCCTGACTTCCCCGAAACCACTTGGTTAGATTACAGAGAGTAAGCATCTCCCACAAATCCTGCTTCCCGTGCGCCACTGGGAAGCTCAGGGATGAGCCTGCCACCCATCTCTATAACCTCACAAGGCCAGGGACATGCATCTCACACCCCTCACTGCCCTCACAGGCTCACTTCTCACCCTTGTTTTCTAACCTAGGTCCAGTTTTTTCATCTGCGTATTGTCTGTTCTCTAATTCTATAACCTGCCTCAAATGCTTTTTGGAACAAGACAGAAGAATAAACAGGTAAGTGGAGAGGTGGATGGACAAATGGGTAGAGAACTCTAAGAAAAGGGGAACAAAGCATTTCATGCGCAAAATCCTCTTCTAGTAAGGGAAGAAAGAGCTGGAACAGAACTGTAAAGAGGCAGGTGGTTCAGGACTTTGTTTCCTGCTGATTTTGTGAAAATCACAGCAAGAAACTAGAGGGAAGAACTATAAATAATAATAGGAAAAAAAGGGCAAACTTGGAAAAACATATCTCAAATATGTACTTTTTAAAGAATAGATCCAAAACAGCAAGACCTGGTGATATCAACTGTGCATAGTCAGAGAATTGAGAATTCCATCCCCCAGGCACCAGGCATCCCCCGGCGCGGTGAGCATTTACACGAGTTGTTATAAGGCCATCGGGGCAAAAGCGACATTTTTCCACACTTAGTGGAAAGCAGGACCTAAGTCAGGAATGTCCACACGTGTCATCATCTCCAGCAACCCTATGAGAGTAGACTTAGTGTACCCCATCTCTACAGGTGAGGAGCCAAGATCTAGAGAAGTTCAATCTCCTTACTAGTTCTCACAATTACAGAGCTGGTGACTCAAAGCAGAAGCCATCTTGGGCCTATGTTCTTAACCACAGAAGTGGGGTGCTTTATGTGCTTTTCATGCTTATAATACATTTGTTTCTAGTGTAAGTTAATATTTAGTAAGTGGCAAGGAGTCTTGATTTATTTCATTAGCGCTAATGAATTATCTTTACATTGTTCAGTTTTACTCTTTTTTTTCCCTTAGAGAAATGGTTGGCGGGGGTTAGAATGAGGTGGATTTTTCATTCTTCATATGGTATCTCATCTCTTCTCTGAGAAGTAAATGATCAAAGCATTAGAGGGAAATCCCCTGCCACAAAGAAGAAACAAGTGCTCCCTCCATCTTTTAAAGAAAGGGCATCTCCAAGGCCGGGCGCGGTGGCTCAAGCCTGTAATCCCAGCACTTTGGGAGGCCGAGGCGGGTGCATCACGAGGTCAAGAGATCGAGACCATCCTGGTCAACATGGTGAAACCCCGTCTCTACTAAAAATACAAAAACATTAGCTGGGCATGGTGGTGCGTGCCTGTAATCCCAGCTACTCAGGAGGCTGAGGCAGGAGAATTGCCTGAACCCAGGAGGCGGAGGTTGCGGTGAGCCGAGATCGCGCCATTGCACTCCAGCCTGGGTAACAAGAGCGAAACTCCGTCTCAAAAAAAAAAAAAAAAAAAGAAAGGGCATCTCCAGTCACGAGGGCTAATTTGATAAACTTAATTTTTTTTTTTTTTTTTTTTTTTTGAGACCAAGTCTTGCTCTGTTGCCCGGCCTGGAGTGCAGTGGTGCAATCTTGGCTCACTACAATCCCCACCTCCTGGTTTCAAGCAATTCTCCTGCTCCATCCTCCCAAGTAGCTGGGATTACTGGCACCCACCACCACGCCCCGCTAATTTTTGTTTTTTTAGTAGAGATGGGGTTTCACCATGTTGGCCAAGCTGGTCTTGAACTCCTGACCTCAAGTGATCCGCCCACCTCAGCCTCCCAAAGTGCTGGAATTACAGGTGTGAGCCGCCATACCCAGCCATTAAACTAAATTTCAATATAAAGGCCAGAGGAAAAATTTCTATGTGGAGCAACCAAGAACAATAAAAACCATAGGAAAATAACAAGAGCATAGCTCCCAAGAGAGCTTAGTGAGTCGGACCAATTTAATTTTATTCTACAAAAGAGTAACAATTTCTAAAAACACTAGTAAGCCATAGATTTGATCTTCCTTGGCATCTGTAGAGTTGTGACAGTGCATGAGACGTCATCATGAACTAGTGAACCAGAGCTGTCATCATGAACTAGTGAACCAGAGCTGTCAAGACACATAGCCTGTAGATTATAGGCAGAAAATCAATGCCAGAGGAGGCTGAGACCTAGACAGGAGGAGACACAAAGAAATGGCATGGAGGAGAAGTCACAGGGACGGGGAGGCTGAAAAAGGCACCACCACAAAGGTTCTCAAGTATCAATCCAACAATGGTTTCATCATCCACTAAAGACGTACGTAGTGAGCTGCTGCCATGCACAAGGCTGTACACAAGGCACAAAACTGGAAACCCAGACATACAGATAAGATAAAGCAAAAAAAAAAGAAGGAAGAAAGCAGAGATGGATGAGGCCAAAGAGAGAAAGCCAAACCTTTCTCTCCTAAAGAGAAGAACAAAAGGGGCTTAGGTACACCAAGAACCAATGTGGCAATAACTTCAGCCATGGCTAACAGGCTAGCACCAGCCTGGGTCACAAACACCTGCCGTCCAACTACAGAACAAAAACCCTGCTACATGGGCACCATGGACTCCATCCAGCAGAGGAATGGCAGGAAGACAGGGCGTCCACAGGCGGCAGTGTGGGATCAAGTCCTCCGGCATCAGGACATGGCGCCTGGAATCACTGGAGCCAAGACAGACTGTTTAAAAATGGTCCTGGGACACCTGGGTGGCCACCTGGGGAAAAAAAGACAAAATAAAACCCACGCCTCACAGGAGACACAAGAGGAAATTCCAAATGGATCTAAGATCTGAACATAAAACAGAAAACCTTAAAAGAAGTTCAAAAAACACGGGTAAATTCCTCTAAAACCTGGACAATGAAAAATGTTCTCTATCATACAAACCTAAATGCAATAAAAGATTAATATATTCGATTACATTAAAATGCAGCAAGATTACTATAAACAAAGCCAAAACATAAATGATAATGTGATTTAAAACTATATGCAATGTATATCACAAAGAGCTCATATTCCACATATATCAAGGTCATAAAAATTAAAAGAGAAAAAAATAACTGAAAATCCAACAGAAAAAAAAAAATGACCAAAAGATTTGGACAGACAATCCATAAAAGAAAAACAAACAAAAAACTGACCCTTAAACATTTAAAAAGATGTTCAACTTCATTAATGGTAAGAGATGCCATTTGTTACATATCTAAGTTGCAAAAATTTAAAAGCCTGACTACACACTGTGTTGGTGAATCTATGGAAGAAATGCTCGCAGGCACTGCTGCTGTGAATGCAAACAATGGAACCTTTATGAAGACGACTCTGGCCAAATCTAGTAGCACCACATGTATGTCTCCTTTCTGACCCAGTAATTCCACTTCTAGGAGTTTACACTCAAGATACACCTTCAACGGTACAAAAATACTCCTATGCAATGTGATTTGCTGATGTATTATCTGTAACTACCAAACACTGGAAACAAACATCCATATGTTGAAGCCTGGTAACATAAAACGCAGTAGTACCTGCACACTTAGTTTACCACACAGCTGAGAAAATGAATGAAGAAAATCTCCATAAGCTGATATGAGTTGACCTCCAGGATCCATTAGCAACCGAAACAAAACATAAAACAAGTACAAAAGAATATATGTAATATCCTACCTTTTGCACAAGAAAAAGAATTAAGAACATCAATGTGGCCGGGTGCGGTGGCTGACACCTGTAATCCCAGCACTTTGGGAGGCTGAGGCAGGCAGATCACCTGAGGTCAGGAGTTCAGGACCAGCCTGAGCAACATGTTGAAACCCTGTCTCCACTAAAAATACAAAATTAGCTGGGCATGGTGGCGCATGCCTGTAATCCAGCTTCTTGGGAGGCTAAGGCAGGAGAACTGCTTGAACCTGGGAGGTGGAGGTTGCCGTGAGCCAGGATCGCGCCACTGCACTCCAGCCTGGACAACATGAGCAAAACTTCGTCTCAAAAAAAAAAAAAAACAATGTGTTTATTTTTTCAAAAAAAAAAAAAAAAGAAAGAAAAAGAAGAAGGAAAAGCCAAGAACAAATGATATTAGTAGTTACCTATAAGGGTAGTGAAACGAAGTGGAAAGAACAGAAGCGGGGCGGGGCACAGTGGCTGATGCCTATAACCTCAGCACTTTGGGGGGCAAAGGAAGGATCCTGGGTTGAGCTCAGGAGTTCAAGACTAGCCTGAGCAACGTGGCAAAATCCCATATTCAAAAGAAACACAAAAAAATTAGCCAGGCATGGTGG